ACCTCCAACTCCTGGGCTCAAGCGAGTCTCCTGCCTCCACCTCCCAAGTAGCTGGGACCACAGGCACCCGCCACAATGCCCGGCTATTTTTTTTCGGTTGCAGCCATCATTGTTGTTTGGCAGGCTCGGGCTGGATTTGAACCCGCCACCTTAGGTATATATGGCTGGCTCCTTAGCCACTTGAGCCACAGGCGCCGAGCCTTCTCTTTCTTTTCAATGCAGTCTTTTTTCATCTCGTGTTACTTCATGGAGCTAAATAGAGTACATTGTACCCTGATGGAGAGCAGATCAAAGGGAATACTGGTTCTGCATACATCCCATGTTTGCCCACTTGCCACTACAAGTGCATACTGCATCAGGACACAGTTCTAAAACCTTTGAGAGTCCTAAGGAAATTGCATTTATCAGCAACCACAAAAAGTCCTGACCTAAAAGCCCAGAATTTTTCTCCTGAATTCAGAAAAGGCTCCCTTCTAACAAAAAGAAGAAGTGGGGGAGCAAGGAGAGTGCAGTGGTAGGTCTGAACTGAATGGCACCCGCATACTATGCCTTTCATGTGTAGAGAAGAAAGGTTTGCGTGGAGATAAGAACAAGACAAAACCCCTCCATCCTGTCCTCGAAGACCACTGCCCTAGAGATACAGGGAGGAGATAGTTTTCCCTGTTTATTCTCAAACTGACCAAAGGCACCTTGAAGTGTTTCTGTTAGTACATTTCATTTCTGAAAAAACATTTCCAAAATATATTTGCCTTATTCTGTCTCAAGAGCCACTGGTATAAAAGAACTTTATTTCAAAATATTGGTGAAAAGAAAAATGCTATGTCTCAGAAATGTAGGGCACTGGGGAAAATTGCAGTCTCACAGTATTTTGTTTAAGTACTGAAAACAAACTCAGGATTTTGGTGGTTTCACAGTGAAGTATTATCTATGACTTCATTCTGAGGTGTCCAGGGAGGAAAGAGAGACCTCTGCTACTCCTTTGAAATCAGAGACCTGGACTCTCAGTGAAGTCCCAGAGCCTTAGATTTCTGTGTGACAGCAGTGAGTGTCGACCTGTAACATCTCATTTGTTGGAATGGACACCTTTGAGACAGGAAGATAACAGCCTCATTACTATTGCTGTCAAATCAGATTCTGATCTCACCCGGTCCTTCCTGCTGCCCAGTCCTTACACTGCCAAGCCATCATTTTATGCATCTTTCACTGTTTCCCTGGAGCAGATATGTAAATAATTTGTCTTCTTCTAAGGTTCTGTCACACCTTTTCTGCCCTATATTACCGTGATTTATTGAGTTCATATCAATGTGCTGCCATCTCAAAACTCTATCAGCTCTTACCTACAGTCACCTATACTTCTCAGAGAAGGAAGTGTTTACCGCTTACCTTTCTTTTCAAAGCAGCTACCTCTACTCCACCTATATTCTTTCTTTTTTTTGCAATTTTTGGCCAGAGCTGGGTTTAAACCCGCCATCTCCGGGATATGGGGTTGCCGCCCTCGTCCTTTGAGCTACAGGCACCACACATCCACCTATATGCTTGATCCCAGTATGTGGCTCATTGTCTCACATATTCATTCTTTTTCTAAATTCACACTACATTTCTTTTCAGTTTCTAAAAACCCAATGTCTCTCTTAGACTAGAAAAGAAATTTCTTTCTCTCTTGCTTACCAGAAGCTATATCCCATCTCTTCTCTTTCTTTCTTTCTTTCTTTTTTTTTTTTTTTTTGGAGATAGAGTTTCACTTTGTCCCCCTCAGTCGAGTGCTGTCGTGTCACAGCTCACAGCAACCTCAAACTCTTGGGTTCAAGTGATTCTCTTGCCTCAGCCTCCCAAGTAGGAGGAGTGTCCACCCACTATAGGTGCCCACCACAATGCCCGGCTATTTTTAGAGATGAGGTCTTGCTCTGGCTCAGGCTGGTCTTAAACCTGTGAGCTCAGACAATCCACCTGCCCCTACCTGCCAGAGTGCTAGGATTACAGGCATGAACCACTGTGCCCATCCATCTCTTCCCTTTCTTGTCTCCCAAACCAGACCTAAGAGTCATCTCTACTTGCTACTTCAGCTTCCTTATTAATATCCTTAGCCCCTTGCAGCCTTGCTTCCATGAATGAGAAAGGAGGCATGTTATTAAAATCATAAGCTTGGCATCAAAGACAACAGGGTCAAATCCTGTGTCCACTTACTTTATATGAGGGTTTAGGTAAATCATTTAACCTCACTCAGTCTCACTTTTTTCACCTATGAAAAGGAAAAATAGAGTCAGTGTGAGGATTAAGAGGTAACGCCTTTTTAAAAAGAGTTGAAGTCTATTTTTAATCTCATACAGTACCTAATGAATAACCTTAAAAAAGATATTACCCCAACCTCGCAGCATTCTACTGAGCTACTCTCTGAAAAGTCACTAATGACAGCCAATCACCAAATAAAGCAACTTTTTCTCATTCCTCACCCCTCTGAACTGCTCCATAGTGTTGGCAGTAGTGAACTTTTAATGTTGTCCTAGTCACCTCTCACTTCTCTTACTCTTCTCCATACTCTTCAGCTTTAAAATCATATGCTTTGGAATCATACCTAGCTAGGTTCTAGTTCCCCTACCTATATTTGGGTGACTCTTAAGCTCAAATTGCTTATTCCTAAAAATGGTTTCAAATTCCTAAATACCTCCTTGGCAGTTATGCCCAGATACCTCACTAATACTTCTATTTAACCTTCTAAAATCACGTATCATCTTTACCCTTCTCTTTCTGGCTTTGTAAAATCTGATGTAGCCTCCATTTTTCTTAGAACTAGGAAATCTTTAATACCTTACTCTCCTTTGCCCTTCCCTGCTCATTTAGTAGCCAGCTGTTCTGAACTTTATCCTCAAAATAGCTTTAGCAGCTATTTCTTTGTCTATCCAAACTGTCACCCTTCCTATTCTTAGAATCTTGTGTAACCATTTGCCTTTCAGATTCTAATCTTATCTTTTACACACCATCCCCTTAGCATCTTAAAACCTTTTACTTTGAAATAATTTTTTTTCTTTTTTTTTTGAGATAGAACCTCAAGCTGTCACCCTGGGTAGAGTGGGTAGTGCCGTGGCATCACAGTTCACAGCAACCTCCAACTCTAGGCTTAAGCGCTTCTCCTGCCTCTGTCTCTCAAATAGCTAGGACTACAGGTGCCTGCCACAATGCCCGGCTATTTTTCGGTTGCAGCTGTCGTTGTTTGGCGGGCCTGGGCTAAATTCGAACTCACTAGCTCAGGTGTATGTGGCTGGTGCCTTAGCCGCTTGAGTCACAGGCACCAAGCAGAAATAATTTTAGACTTTAAAAAGTAGTACAGAGACCCAACACAAAGAAATGAGGTGATGGATGTGCTAATTACCCTGATTTGATCATTACACATTGTATGCATGTATCAAAATATCACATTGAACACCATAAATATATACAATTATGTCAATTCAAAAGATTAAAAGTAAATAAATTAAAATGGGTCTCCTATAGGCAAAAAAACATTGTGCAGAGAGTCCCCTCGGTTGTCCTCTAACTGGCTTCTAATTTTAACAGCTTAAGTAACCATAGTTCAGTTATCAAAACCAAGAGATTAACATTAATAAAATCATATGAACTAATCTACAGACCTTGTTGAAATTTTTCTGGTTGTCCCACTAATATCTTTTCATTCCAGGAGCAAATTCAGGATCTTGCATTATATTTAATGTTGCATCTTCTCCAATGTGTGAGAGTTCCTCAGTCTGTCTTTGTTTTTTATGATTTGACAATTTTGAAGAATACTGGCAGGTGTTTTATTGAATGTTTTTCAATTTTAGTTTGTCTGATGTTTTCTCACGATTAAGCTGAGTGTATATATGTTTAGCAAGAATACCACAGAACAATGCTATGCCCTTAATTGTTGTTGAGTGTAGCACTTGAGGTATGTGATGTTGACACTTCTGATGTTAAATCTAGTAACTTGGTTAAGGTAGTGTCTTCACCTTTCTTAACTCTGAAGTTACTGTTTTTCCCTTTGTGATAAAGAAGTATCTTTTAGGGAGATGATTTGAAACCAGGCAGATAAATACTATATCTCTCATCATATTTCTGTCCACTGATTTTTAGGATCCATCAGTGATTCTTGCTGTCATCATTATTGCTTTGTTGTGTGCCTAATGGTGATTTTCCATTTCCATCATTCTTTCAACAAACTTTAATTGGAATTTTACTATAAGGAAAAGCCATCCCTTCTCATCCATGTATTTATTTATATCATTATGATGTCCAGATATTAATTCTATAAGACATTTATCATCATTATTCATTTCATTACACAAATTACCCTCAATCTGGCTATTGGGAACTCTTCCAAGTTGGTTTCTATGTGCTTTCAACTTCCTCTTATTATTTTTTGAGAATTTCTTACTCTGGCATTATAAGATGTTCTGTCTAAGACTCAGTTTTACTGTTCAACTCCTAGAATCAACCATTTCTTCATGGAGCTATGGTTTCTTTTATCTGTCCCCTTAGTTTTTGAAAATAAAGTTCTGAGCATGAATGTTCTTAATGACTTACCAGCTACTGATTAAAATTCAAACCAGATAGCCTAGGATTCAAAAATATCCATGCTCTGGTCCCAGAAGACCTTCTTAACCTTAAAATTTAAACTTCCCCTTCAGGTATCCTACCCTTACAAAAAGTAGAATAAATTAATCATTACCTAGCTCAGCCAGTTCAGATAGACCTTTACCTCACAATCCATTCCTGATTTTACCTGGGAACTAACTTTTGCTTCCTTTGAAGTTTTATCGTGTGCTTATTTACTTCATGACATTTATTATGTACACCCATGTTTTTCTCACATTGGTCACATCTCACCTATCTTATTCAAAAGTACTTGAGAGCAGAATCTGTATTACAATCTTTTTCACGTTCTTTTGCTAAATGATACCTTGCACATGCTAGACATTCAGTAAATATCCATCATGTGGGCCGGACTCAGTGGCTCACACCTGTAATCCTAGCACTCTGGGAAGCCGAGGAGGTGAATCAACTGAACTCACAGGTTTGAGACCAGCCTAAGCCAGAGCAAGACCTCATCTTTTAAAATAGCCAGGCATTGTGGTAGGCACCTGTAGTCCCAGCTACTTGGGAGGCTGAGGCAAGAGAATCCCTTGAGCCCAAGAGTTTGAGGTTGCTGTGAGCTGTAATACCACTCCACTGTCACTAAGGGTGACAAAGTGAGACTCAGCCTCCAAAAAAAAAAAAAAAAACATTCATTATGTGTATGGCTGGGTAGAACTAAAGTCAACAGAAGAAGCAGAAGAGATCTTTCAAGTGCTTTAATTACCTCAAGCCAGGTAACCACCTACCTGCCAGAAATAACTGCTTATCTATTAAAACTTATGACTAAGATCTTTCTGGTAGATTGATCTTAATAAGATGCTTCTTTCAGCCTAAACTTTTAACCAACATTGCAATTATATATATATATATATATATAGATTTTTTTTTTTTTTTGAAGCAGAGTCTCACTATGTCACCTTTGAAAGAGTGCTGTGGCATCACAGCTCACAGCAACCTCAAACTCTTAGGCTTAAGCGATTCTCTTACCTCACCCTCCCAAATAGCTGTAACTACAGGCTCCTGCCACAACCTAGTTATTTTTTTGTTGTAGTTGTTATTGTTGTTTGGCAGGCCCAGGCCAGGTTCGAACCCACCAGCCCCGGTATATGTGGCCAGCACCATAGCTGCTGAGCTACACACATCAAGCCCAACAATGCAATTATAAAAACTGCTATTGGTGCTTAGTCTAGCATTGAGCTCCAAGTGCCTCTAACCATTTTGGCTAGAGCTTTGAGATTCTGTCCTCTCATTGGAAGAGAGAAATGGACATTGCCAAAGCTTGGTGATCAAATGAGTGATTCATGATATGAGATATACTGCTTCTTTGGAATACCAAAAGAATTATAGCTTCAAAATGTTTTTTCTTCCCTTTTATGATTTCAAAGATTAGGGTTGGGGGGGGGGTTCCAACAGAGCTATAAGTCTCTCAAATCTTGGTCTGAAAAGAATTATTTGAGGACAAAGGAGAAAGTACCTCGGGAAAACGAAGCTCAAGTTGGAGGTTTTGTTTTTTATTTTTCTTTAATGTGAAAACAAAAGCCTGATCTTTTCTGGGAAAAAGTTCTCTTCAGAGAGACATCTAGCAGAGACATAGCTCAGTATTGATCTAGTCTGAGTAGAGTACCTTTTAAATTGCTTAGTGGGCCAGGCGCAGTGGCTCACAGCACTTGGGAACCGAGGCAGATGGATCACCTGAGCTCACAGGTTCAAGACCAGCCTGAGCCAGAGCGAGACCTCATCTCTAAAAATAGGCCGGTGTTGTGGTGGGTGCCTGTAGTCTCAGCTACTTGGGAGGCTGAGGCAGGAGAATCACTTGAGCCCAAGAGTTAGAGATTGCTGTGAGCTATAATGCTACAGCACTCTAATGAGGGCAACAAAGTTGAGACTCTGTCTCAAAAAAATAAATGAATAAATAAATTGCTCAGCGATTGGTTTGAGAAGTGGAAAGGATGAATCTTAGAAGTCTAGACATGTGCGATGGGCTGATGTGACTAGATTGAGAGTACAGCCATTTATCTTTGTTCACAGAGATTTTTCTGTCTTCTCTCCTAGGTGGATCACTTGGATAAGAATGGGCAGTGTGCTTTGGTTCATGCTGCACTTCGAGGTCATCTGGAGGTTGTCAAGTTTTTGATTCAGTGTGACTGGACAATGGCTGGCCAACAGCAAGGAGTATTTAAGAAGAGCCATGCCATCCAACAGGCCCTCATTGCTGCAGCCAGCATGGGTTACACTGAGGTAAGAAGTAGGTAATAGGATTATTTTTCCAAGGTATATATTAAAGACTCTGGGGAGCTAGGAGAAAAGAATTGTATTAATACAAAATTGTCTGGCTGGATGTAGTACCTCACACCTGTAATCCTAGTGCTCTGGAAGGCCAAGCCAGGTAGATTGCTTGAGCTCACAAGCAATCAAGGCTAGACCAGCCTGAGCAAAAGCAAGACCCTGTCTCTACTAAAACTAGAAAAACTGAGGCAAGAGGTTCTCAAGAAAAAAAAAAAAAAAGACAAAATTATCGGCCAAATTAATAAGAATTTTTGATAGCTACTCTGCATAATAAGGAGATTAAATACCACAAAGCACTTGACTACTCTAATGCTGATGTCCCTGAAATTATAGGTATAGGAACATGAGAGTTGGAAAGAACTGTAGAATTAATCTAATCTAATTCTTTCCCATGCTTCTACCCCTATTTAACAGACAATGGCATGAAGGCTCACAGGGATTAATTTTTGACCTGCACTCACCTAGTTAGACAAGGTGGCATGGGAAGAGCAAAACATTAAGAATCTCAGAAGGACCAGATTTAGTCTCAGCTTTGATGCTCATTAGCTTTAGAGACCTTGGGCAATTTCTCTAACCTCTTAGAACCTTAGTTTCCCATAAGTAAAATGAAGTTAATAAATTCTTTTATACAGTCAAATTCCTGGAAGCAGAGCTATCACTTTTGTTTTTAGAGGTCATACTCTGTATACTAGTCTCAGATAATGTCTCTACTCTGAAGAAATATAGGCCTTCAATTTTCTCAAATTTATTTTCTATAATTTTTTATTGAGAGGATGAAGGATTGCTTCTTTAACTTACACATGAAGAATATATAATCTTTTAATCATTTGCTGTATATATGAATTGTGTTCTGGAGAAACATGTACCTGATAGGACAAAAGCTCATTGTGACAGCTCTAGGTTTCTTTGCCAAGAAAGTCAGTTCTGATTCCTTTTGTGTGCAAGATATTTAGTAATACTTGGCTCTTCCAGGTATCTATCTTCTAACTCTCACAGGCTGACATCAGTAGCATAGTTTTCCACCTGAACTTTGAACTGACTCAACTTCTTGTTTCAGATTGTTTCCTACCTACTTGATCTTCCAGAAAAAGATGAAGAGGAAGTGGAACGAGCACAGATCAACAGCTTCGACAGTCTCTGGGGAGAGACAGGTACTGTTCACGGACACTACTGTCTTCTCTCATGAACGCGTTGTATTTATGTGGATTCCCTGTGTCTCTTACCCTTACTTTTTCCTGATATACCTTTGGCAGTCTTCTGGCTTATGGCTTTTGTATTGGAGAACAATTCAGCCAAAACAAAAAGTCAAGCGATTTCCCTTTTCTTTTTTTTTTTTTTTCAAATCTTCAAATCAGAATTTTAATGCTTTCATCAATGTTACAGCATTTACTTTCTTCTTACTACTAAGGTAATAGCACCTTGTAAAATGATTCTAATGCAACAAATTATTTAAATGGATAGATTTGAACAGTAATGTTTTACAGTGGACTAATTTCATCTTCCAGTCATTATAATGACATCTCAACAATGCAGGGAAATTCATAGCTACAAAGCAAGCTAACATGAGTGCTCAAGCAAGTATCCTGGGATGTCTAATCCAGAATATAAACTTCTGGGGAGTTTGCTCCCTTTACCATTTAAATGTTCAGCTTTTTAAATCTGTAGGCCATTTCCTATTGTTCAGTTACATCCTCTTAAGAGGTTTTGGGGTGTTTTTGTTTTGTTTGTTTTGTTTTGTTTATTTGGAGACGGAGCCTCAAGCTTATTGCCCTGGGTTGAGCACTGTGGCATCACAGCTCACAGCAACCTCCAACTCCTGGGCTTAAGTGATTCTCTTGCCTCAGCCTCCCAATAAGTGGGACTATAGTGCCCACCGCAATGCCCATCTATTTTTTGATTTGATTGTAGTTGCTATTGTTGTTGGGCAGGCCTGGGCTGGATTCGAACCCACCAGCTCTGGTGTATGTGGCTGGCACCTTAGCCACTTGAGCTACAGGCGCCAAGCCCTCTTAAGAGGTTTTATAATAAAATGAGAATTAGGTGCTAATATTCCTTTAGTATTATCACTTAAAAAATAATTCACCTAATTTTAGAAGGGCTTAACTTCAGTTACATTTTTAACTCTGTCACTTTTGTTCTTCACATCCAGTTTGTCCTTTCTTTCTGAATTAGTTAGACCATTCTGTCTACTCATTAGCCACATGCCTGTTTTAAGACTTCCTCTTTTCTCTAAGAAACCCTATGTAACCCCATGGTTCTCCCAAACTTAACTATTTTGAAATCCAAAGCACAGCCTTAAGGTTGTTGGAAAGAAGGGGGATGAGATGACAAGGCTGGTGAAAAACACTAGCCAGGGCTAGAAGTCTGTTTGTGGACTTGGATCCGTCTTTGATTCCACTGAGCACCTTGCAGGTAGATATTCAAGTCTGTCTTGAAATAGGGCTATGTATCTCAGTTCCTCTGTTTTAATACTTATTACACTAAGAGCTATTTTGCTAATTTTTTGCCAGTAAGCACTCATTACCATTGTTCTGGGTAGAGTGTAAACATGTCAGATGTGGTCTTCCCTAATTTGTTTCCTCAGTTTCCACATAGCTCTTTTCAAGAATAAGTGGCTAGGCAGCGCCTGTGGGTCAAGGAGTAGGGCGCTGGCCCCATTAACCAGAGGTTTTTTGCAATTTTTTAACCAAAAACTGCAAAAAAAAATAAGAATCAAATGGCCTATATTTTACCAAATATGATTTGTGCTGTTTTCCAACTCTGGATCTCCAAATGTGCAAATCTAAAACATTGTGCTCTATTACTATGTGCTACCTGAAAGAAAACAAACATTGTTTTATCTAATTTGATTTTTAATGCTATTAATAATGATTTAGTTTTCAAAGAAGCAAATAATTACAGACAAGAAAAAAGATTGCTGGCTCGGCGCCTGTGGCTCAAGTGGCTAAGGCGCCAGCCACATACACCTAAGCTGGCGGGTTTGAATGCAGACCAGGCCTGCCAAACAACAATGACAGCTGCAACAAAAAAATAATCGGGTGTTGTGGTGGGCACCTGTAGTCCCAGCTACTTGGGAGGCGGAGGCAGGAGAATTGCTTGAGCCCAGGAGTTGGAGGTTGCTGTGAGCTGTGATACCACAGCGCTCTACCCAGGGCAACAGCTTGAGGCTCTGTCTCAAAAAAAAAAAAAGAAAAAGAAAAAACATTGCTGAGATGGTGCCTGGTCTCTTATGTTCAGGCCATTGCTGACCTACCTAAGAAAGAAATGTATATTAAATGTATATTTATGGTGTCTTCATTATTATAAAAATCAGAGTAGTATGACTAATTAGGAAATAGCAATAATTAATTTTATGACAATGAGTCTGTCAGTATTTGGATCTCTTTGTGGGGGGAAAAATAAAGGAAAACACATGTTTTGGGGAAAGAAATATGACAAGAAATGCCCACAGATGCAGTCTGCTATAGAGAATACATCTCTCCAAAATTAAAGGTACAAAGTTCGTCACATTTAATTTAACAGTTGCCACTTTCTAGTTCTCCCAATTTAAGGAAATACATTTCTACATTATTCAGGAATTATTAGAAATTTCATCCAGTTTGAACAGTGACTAAGTAGTACTTTGTGATACAGGTGCAAAAAGTTGTTTTCAACCAAGCTTTTAGACATAATTGTCCATAAAGTACATTTCAAATAGAAGTACTCATTAGGAGAGTAATTTAAAGTGCGATGTACAAGGTACTTTAAATAGTGCAAAATGTGCCAACTCCAAATAAAGCAGGATTTTACTTAACCCTAAACTAAAGAGAACAATGTAGACATGCTATCAAATTTTTAATCCTTTGCAGGTAAGAATATTTTGGCCCATCTCTGTGTGTGTGTGAGAGAGACTGTACCTAAATAGGTATATAACTCCTTGATGTTTCTGCAAATGCCTATAACTGGTTTTTTAGAACTTGAAACCTTGAAACCCTGACAGAACTTTGCAATCTCCACTTTAATATACAATTCCACTTCAGACTAGCATTAGGCTTGTAATAATGTTGAAGTATTTCCCCCTGCATATCTTGTAAGGCAGGTATTTTACTGTGAATTAAATGCTTAATGAAAATTACAGAAAATACAATCACTGTAATGCTACTCTCTTGGCAACATTATAGCAATTTTCCTTTTCAATCCTCTTTCCCTTTGGATTCTCCATACTGCTAGTAACAGAATCTTCTTTCAAGTTAAACTTTTCCCCTCTCCTTTTTCTAAATATTTTTTAAAGACTAAAATTTACTTTACAATATGCCCAAACTATAGCATAAAATAATTGTGGCCTTTTTCTATTTTTATGTGATCCTTCTAGTAATTTAGGAATAAAGATTTCTCCCATCAAAATAATTCTTTCTGTCCAGGCACAGTAGCTCATGCTTAGATTCCTAGCACTCTGGGAGGCCAAGACAGAAGATCACTTGCACTCAGGAGTTTGATACCAGCCTGAGCAAAAGCGAGACCCTGTCTCTACTAAAAACAGAAAAAATTAGCCAGACCTACTGGCAAACTCCTGTACTCCTAGCTACTCGGGAGGCTGAGGCAGAAGAATCACTTGAACCCAGGGGTTTAAGGTTACTGTGTGCTATGCTAAGGCCATAGCACTCTAGCCTGAGCAACAGAGTGAGACTCTGTCAAAAAAGGGGGGGGGGGCTCTTTTCACCTGAATTTGGAAACCAAGATGTTAAATTTTTGTTAAAATATGGCTTAACTGAGTGTTATTTGTTGTAGAGTGGTATGTGACACAATTAAGCTGTAAAGGTGATATATTATGAGTAAAGTTGCTATTTGTTTTGGGGGGGGGGTTCTTTTTTTTTGTTGTTGAGCTATAGGCGCCAAGCCTAAAGTTGCTATTTGGATGCACAGTGAAGGTACTACCCTATAAGGCCCAACTCATCAATTCCTCTTGGTTTGTAGCAAAGCAATATCTGCATCTTTTGGTACGTCTATGCAAATAGAAGCCTCTTCCTTGTGGCCTTTGCAAGAAATGATTGTTCTTTTCCCTCCAAATCTAAACTGGAGCATCTAGAGAAATATTAGTAATCTTTGATGTGTTTTTATGAAACCAGGGCAATAAAAACTATAGAGTAACCAAAGATATGTGTCATATTTTCCAGGCGAAGTAGACCAATATTAAGATGGCCAATTTAGGGAGAATATAAATAAGAAGAGCATGCATTTTGGTTAGGGTAACAATGTTACTAAAAAGACAAGACTCTTGAACTCATTTAAAATTTATAATGATAAATTGTGATTTTTTTCTCATGACAAAATCTTATGTATGTTTCACAACTTTTTAAGCATCATGTGGAATGGTCCAAAGCTCAGGAATTTATTTCTCAAAACAGTTCCTCCCTCTGCAAATCCAGAGAAAGCAGATGCCAAGCAGCTGCAGTTTAAGAGTCCATGACTTCATTTAATTAAAAAAAAAAAAAAAAAAAAAGAGTCCATGACAGATTAAAAGAAAGTATGCAGCTGAAAACAGCTGCTGTCTCTTTAACCCCACCCTGAGGGAAGCCAGAGGACAGCCTGAGAGGAAGGGACTGGCCAGGACATCGACAGTCTTGGAATTGCATATGTGACCCAGCGCTACAGAAGGGACATGTTGCTTTACTTCTGTCAGTGTAACCTTCCCCAACAGAGTGTTGCTATATCTCCCAACTCCCTTGTTGCCAAGGGCACAGACATATAACCACCCAGAGCAGCAAAAAGAGTTATGGCCTCCTGGTGATAATGGATAGAAATTATAAGACTAATAGTCTTTTTTTTTTTTTGAGACTGAGTCTCACTTGATTACCCTCGGTAGAGTGCTATGGCATTTTAGCTCACAGCAACCTCAAACTCATGGGTTCAAGTAATGAGAGACAAGGTCTTGCTCTTGCTCAGGCTGATCTTGAACTTGTGAGCTCAAGCAGTCCACCCACCTCAGCATCCCAAGTGCTGGGATTACAGGCATGAGTCACGGTGCCCAGCCCAAGACTAATAGTCTTATAACAAACACATTGTAATACTATACTTGAAAGAAATCCTAAAAATGAAATTCAAGAAGGATGTGAACTAAATAGAGGCCTTATTTTAGTAATACAAATTTCTTACTATAATAACACTTTATGGC